TAATATCCAAGTCTATTATTTCTTCTCATAAAATGTTCCTTATTTTCTCAATGTCTTCTTAATACTAGTCCAGACAAGTGGATATATTTCCTTCTACCAGAAAGTTATGGCAAGTAAAACCTGACCTGTGATAAAGTCACTGTTTTAATATTAAGGACTCAGTGCCTGTTTTGAGCAGTGGAAAGTGAGACAAACCTTGATTAAGGTGTTACAGTTTCCAGCTGTGAGCCATACTTAGGATAAACTAGAGAAGAGTATTAACCTGCTTTAATGACAAATTCAAAGAAGTAAGTTAATAAAACTTAATACTTAAATGGCACCTTTCACCTCCAAAGTGAACTCATTTTATGATGAAACTTTGGAGACCGACTGGAATGGATACATTTTAAATGAAATTTCCTTATGAGACTCTGATGTAGTTTCTGTTGAAACTTCAAAGATTTTTAGTATACCCAGGATTTTGCTTAGAGAGTTTGGATGTGGATAGGATGGATATTTGTTGGATCTCAACCATTTATGATTATTATATAGACCACTGGATATGGGACATAGTTTCTCAAGCAAATTAAGGGATTTCCTATCAAATCCCCATTTTAGCAGATGTTAATTTTATGAGTGGAAAGTTGTGTGAAATATCCTTATGTAACAACTCCATCTTACTTGACTAAGCAAGTATTAATTTCAGGAGTACATCTTCATCTTTACAGTACTTCTAACCATCTTTGATACTTGAGAACACCAAGGCATCAAATAATTGAGTAGGGATGATCATATACACAAGTTAGTAAAAAGCCAGAATTAGAAAACAGGTTTTTTGTTTTGAAGTCTAGTTTTATCTATACTCTATGAGGCTGCATCCTGTTTCTCTTATCTATTAGTATTCCCCAACTGAGAATTAGCATTTTTGATATAATCTATAAATCTATTCAAAGAACAGTGAGAACTTTGGACCTATAGTTAAGGCTTTGCTCTGTCTACTCTGCTGACAAAGCTAGGTATTGTCTTTCAAAAAGAAACACTATTACTAGTTCTCAGTACCTTGCATCATGTATTTAAATGGAATTAACTAATTAATAGAACATTTCAAAAACTTTTGAAACTTTTTTGAGCCTATCTTATTATTGTGGGAATTGCCTGCACTTGATTTGGCAAATAAATTCCCAAACTTCTGTGTCTTTCTAAATATTTTGCCCTTACTATTGCCATGTTTTGTTCAATAGGCAGAATTTAGAAGTTGTTAAATGATCCTATTAGATCAAAGGGAATGGTGAAAGCTAACCTAATGACAATAATTCACTAAAAAACAGAAATATTCTAAATTGATTAGGTTATTCCCTATCCTTCCAGTGATTTCCTCTTGGAGACAAAAGGTTGTAGAAGTCTTTTATCTACATGAATTACTTTTTTTTTTTTTAATGTTTTTATTTCTTTTTAGAGAGAGAGGGAGAGAGATAGAAACATTGATGAGGGAGAAACATCATCCATCTGCTGTCTCCTGCACGCCCCCTACTGGGGATCAAGCCAGCAACCTGGGCATGTGCCCTGACTGGAATCAAACCAGTGACCTCTTTGTTCATGGGTGGATGCTCAACCATTGGCATGAATTACTACTTTTAACATTTTACTAGCACAGAAGTAATAGCTAACAACTACTGAGCATGTGCCAAGTATGATGCTTCCTGCTTTGTGCATTTTCTAATCCTTACAACAGTGTTAGTACTATTTTCCCCACTTTAACAGATGGAGAAGCTGAGGCAAGTTATTTAGAAAGGGCAAATAACTTCACAAAGGTCAACACAACCTAAAAGTAGCAGAATTTGGATTTGAATCCAAGTGGTCAAACTCCAGAGTCCGTGCTCTTGAGATGACTGTCAGGTTCAAACTTACAAACAACAGCTGTATAAAATCATCTGAGTAGAAATCTTCTTAAGATTTCACAGAACTTTTATATATCAAGTACCTAGATTTTTTATGAGGTATAAATGACATAATCTAAATAACCTTCTTGATATCCTGAGAGAAGTTAAGAAATTCATGACATAGAACATGATTGATCATTAACTACTCTCCTCCTTTTAAGCAGATATTAGTGGTATTGAATACATTTATATCATAGTTGAGATGCATTATTCCTTAATTTCATTCAATAAATATTTGATCTATGCTTTTTTTAGAAGTATCTTTAGGCTGTCAACAGGTGATGAGATAATCATTTCAATTTAAGGTGGCACAAAACTTGTCAAAAATTAACAAAATTAAAAATTGTATCTAATGAGCTGTCAGTTTCTAGTGGATTCATCAAGAGTTTAGTTATTATCAGCCATCACCATCAGAAAGTTTAGAGAGGGCCTAGATTTAAATAATGAAATAATCACACATTCATTTATCCATGCCGAGCCGGGGGGGGGGGGGGGGTGTTAAAATGTTAATAGAAAGCATTTAAGGATTATGTTTTCTTTACAACTACATACTGCATATTCTGTCTAATTAAGGCATGACTAAATGGAGGCAGGACTCTTACCACTTTACATGTACAAATAACATCATTTTTACCTGTACTTAATATTCATAACCTAGCACATACAGTACTAGAAAATTTTATTCCTACTTGCAATTAATTTTCTTCACCTAGAATAGATCAAGAGGAGGCGAACTATTGACCCCTGGCCACATCCAACTACTGCCTGCTTTTGTATGCTCTGTAAGCTAAGATTGGTGTCTACATTCTTTTCAAGTTTGAAAAATGCCTAAAGATTAATACACTTTTTAATACATGAAAAGCATATGAAAGTCAAATTTCATTGTCCATAAATAGAGTTTTTTGGGAACACAGTGTTTATGTATTGTCTTTGGCTACGTTTGGGCTACTATGGCAGAGTTGAGAAGCTACAGACCTTATTATGACTTATGAAGCCTAAAATACTATCTGGCCCATTATAGAAAGTTTTCTGACCCCTGACCTACATACTTCTCCCTGGGAGGGAAAGGAGGGTAATAAAATTAGAAGTCCCAAACTAGTAATCCCTAGCTGAATTAGCCCTCAAGTTCTTGCTTGAGGTTGGGTTGAGTTTCAAAATGATTTTTTAAAGTGCCATTAGATAAGGAATAAAGGCTCCAATTCATTACTTTTCTACACTTCTTATCATTGATTGTCTTCATCTACTTATATTACCTGTCTGGCTTCTGAACGCATTTGAGTTTGTAATTAATGACTTGGATCAGGGGTCCTCAAAGCTTTTTCTGTAGGGCTAGATTGTAAATATATTAGGCTTTGTGGACTAAGCAAAATTGAGGACATTAAAATAGGTACTTATATAACAATAGATAAATTGGCACAATTTTTTAATTAACAAAATTCCAGATATAATTGAGTATTTTTTGTAATGCGTTTTTTGGGAAGAATAACATTTCCTTTAATGGGGATTCTAAGTGTTTCCTATCATTAAAATCAATTGTAAATTATCACCTGTTAATGGTTATCTGTAATGAGATTTTACACATTTCACCTTTTAAAAAAACCATCTTTTTGTTATAGAATAGTAAAAAGCTAGGAAAACTCCAGGACAAACGGAATAGGGAAACTTAAAGATAGTTAAAACAGCAGTTTGCAGCCACCTAGTAAGTCCTATCTTCCCCAAACTAAGGATACTTAAGGGTAAGTGATTTGCACTTCTCTCCAAACAGAGGGTTAATAGTTTAAATCACCCTACTCAGGGAGACATAACAGAAATCTAATTAAGTGCCATTTGCCAACCACACCCAAGGACAGACAGTAAGAGAATAAATCTCATTTTGGTACATTAGCATAAAGCTGATGAATATTCTTTTGATCTGCCCCTAAGACCTCCTCCCCTAAATGCCCAGCCTTTAAAAACCCTTAAAAATGAAGGTCCCAGTGCACTCTCTCTCCAAGGAGTATACCTGTGCCATTCCCTTCTCCCACATGCATGTGTCCCCTAACCTAAGAGATCCCTTGAGACTTCCAACTTGGGGAGCAATGGGCAGCTTCAGCTCATCCCAGGATAACCCCCTGAACCTGTCTCCAAGGTCCCCTTTTCTCTGACTTCTGAGTGAGCCAAAGCAGCCCAGCCTAGGCTCTCCTGTTGCTTCTTCTCTGCCCTTCCTGGTTTCACTGCCCCAAGTATGTTTTTGCTGCAGTCAATAAATTCTTGCTTGCTTTTCTACATTTTGTCTCTTGATTGAAATCCTTCCCTCAAGAAGGTAAGAGCTGAGGTCTTCTCATCTCTTCGGTAACATTTTCACACAGATAGAGGCTGCCTAATACAGATATCAATCCAGAGCATATGATTCTGAGCATATTCATCACTTGGAAGGCATTTGTAAGACTCTATTAGATTCTTCCCTTGATATCTGCCTTTTAGTATGTCATTACACAGCACATTATTCACTTTCAATTGAAGATTAGGTGGAAGCTCAATTGTAGTTTAATGGATTTTGAAAGACAGAAATTTCCTTTGCATTTGCACCAAGGACCCAAAAATGCTGAACTCTGAACGTATATTTACTGCTAATCTATGTGTGAAGGGAAATCTTGTTTTAATTTTTTTAAAACATGTTTTATTATTGAATTCTTTTTTTTAGAGAGAGGAAGGGAGAAACATCAATTTGTTGTTCTACTTATGTATGCATTCATTGGTTGATTCTTGTATGTGCCCCTCCACTCCACATCTGTGTCCCCCCAAATCTTATTATTTTGATTATTTATCAACCATTTTAAAATGTAAGAACCATTCTCAAATTACTTGCCATACAAAAACTGGTGGCAGGCCAGATTTGGCTGCCAGACATGGGTTGCATATTCCTGATCTAAATAATCTCATTTTTATTACTTTTAAGTGGTAGTATAAGAGTACTATATAAAACTTAGCAACAGTCTTCAGCTAAGGATGTCTGCAAAGTGATATTAGTGCTTTCCCAGTTAGTATACAAGAGACAGACATATTTAAGTGTATTTAAATAATTTAGATAATAAACTTATATAGTATAATTTAGGTAATAAAATGTTTAATAGACATTTCATTTAAACTTTTGATAATCCTCAATTTACAATACAACATGGGCAAAATATAACAGTTTAATACTAAAGTAACTAAATGCCAAAATTTTATGAAATCATACAAATTATATTTCACTACGTAACAATCTAGTGGGGAGATGGAGAAAATAGTTCCAATTAAGTCATTTAAGCAATTGTTGTTTTTTCTTCTGAAAAGGCTTTATCAGTCCTCTGGCGTTTAAGAGGTGGAGGATCTTCATGATTCTCTGTAACAGATCCAGAAAACTTATATTAGATAATAAAAGGCTAATATGCAAATCGACCAAACAGCAGAATGATTGGTCGCTATAACAGGCACTGACCACCAGGGTGCAGATGCTCAACACAGGAGCTGCCTCCTATTGGTGAGTGTGCCAGAAGCTGGGCTCATGGCTGGCGAATGCAGCAGCGGTGAAGGGAGCCTTTACTGCCTCCACAGCAGCGCTAAGTATGCCCCCGGGGAGCAGGCCTAAGCTGTCAGTTGGACATCTCCCGAGGGCTCCCAGACTGGGAGAGGTCACAGGCTGGACTGAGGGAAGCCCCGCTGAGTGCACAAATTGTGTGCACCGGGCCTCTAATATTAGATAAGATACTTAACATTTGAAAATATGTTTAAAAGGCAAATAATATAGGCTTTTTAATCTATTCAACTTATATGAATTCCTGTGGAGTTATTATTTAATGAAATAGCCTTCTACTATATTGAACAGTGTGACTTACTAAAATTTGTTAAATTGGGAGAAACCAATCACAAATGACAAGGGACTTAAACTGAAATATCTGACTAGAATTAGATTAACCCACTCCAAATTTAATAAATAATATGAAATATATAGTCTAAGAAAGCTACATGAAAAGTATTATAGCTTACATTTAATTTCCCAGAAATTGCTCACCTAGATCTAGGGTCTGGTTCTTGTAGAGTATAACAGCAGGAATCTGAAAGGTGATGCATAACATTTCCTTGTTAGGGGCCACGTTTCTTACTAGATGAACTGAACTGCATGGATCCAAGGAAATGCCTAACACAGCTTCAGCTTGTTGCTGAACATCCTTAGCAGGATTAGCATCTTTGGAAAAGCTGTAACAGTGTACTATGGGAAGGAGCTCGCTGCCACATGGCTGCCCATCCAAAAGAGATTTGAAAGCACTGAGAAACTCAATTGCCTTTGCTGGTAAGTTCATGACAATGTGCACAGCGTGTTTTCTTTCTTTCGACAGTGGTCCCAGCTGCTGCATTAATTCTTCTCTGACTGGTCCTTGGAGGAAGTCTTTCCCATCCAAGTTAAAGACTTTTACTTTATTGTCCACTTTATTTAATTTACAGTTGTGCAATAGCCATTTATAGGATTCAGGATTGAGATCATTGGCAAATACAGTGCAGTTTTTCTTTGCTGCTGGAATGGCAAAGGGCCCAACCCCAGCAAAAACATCAAATAGAACATCTCCAGGTTTGAGAAGTTCTGTGATACGGCTGTGTTCTGTAGAGAGACGGGGATTCCAATAGACTTTTGAAAAATCAAATTCATAGGTATAGTTGTTTTCCCGAACCTGAAAAAGGTATTAAGTTTTTGGTTAATTTGCTTAGTCTTCAATTTCAGCCATTGATATGGATAGATGCACCCATGCACATATACATATTTCAATATACTACTACTAGGAGCAAATAACAGTGCATTTAAAGGCATTTTGATTAGAATTCTGGTGTTCATGTTATACTTGAGACCAGTTAAAATCCTGCTTTAGACTTTTTCATGAGAAGTCATCTCTTCAAAGTCAAATGGCTCCCTATCTCATCCATCATAAAGGGCCATAAAATGGTTCCCAAACCACATGAGGAATTTTTCAGATAGACCAATTGACTGGCTGACCTGATGGAGGGAAAAAAAATCTATAATCTGAAACAACACTACCTGTATCTTCATGGCGAGTAGCTAAGTTGCAAACAGCACTTCCACATAGCACTTCCCTCCTTACTTAGTTTTCAGTTTGTAGGAGGAAGCATGATAGATAAGTCATGTGTTATTCAATTTTCAAGTATTTTGCTATGTTTGTAGATAGTTACTTGGACTTTGCAAGTTTCATATTTATAAATTAGAACCAGTGTATAGAACAAATCATTCTATTTTCTTCTTTCCCAATTTGAATTCATAAAGAATCAAAGGCCAGAAAGTTCTATAAATCTGATAGAGATATGTCTTTTATATTCTGCTTTCATGGGCTTTACTTCCAAATTTGTACATATTTTTCCCCCTCACAACCACATCAAATGCTCTGGCTATATTAGTAAGGTTCCAGAGTTGGAAATATTTCTTCATGGTTCTGCCCAATTAAAAGTCTTTCTGGGTATACAACCTGGAAGGTTTAACTATGTCTTGTGACTACTTTTCCTGAAATCTTTCTACTCCCCCTTTTCAGTTCCTTAATGTGAGGCACAGATCTAGTTTAAAAATTAGATTCTAAATATCCCTCTGGTTTTCTTCATGCTGCCTTTGATACCTCACTCCCTTAATCAGCATTAATTTCAGCCAAATTCACTCTCAGAAATCTTTTTACTTAAAATATACACACATAGTACTTAAATGTTGTATGAACTCCTAAAGTTTATCTTAAATGTGACTCTTTGGAGCACAGAAATTATACTGACTTTTAACATATATTTTATGGTAAAAGTATTAGGTATAACATATGTCCTAAGAACAAACTTCATGAATTAGGAAATCAATTACAAAGCATTTATTACATTACAGAAGTTTCTTAGAACGTTTAGATCTCTTGAGAAGGATGATGTTGTTACCTGTTACCCTAAGAGTCAGTACCAAGTGAAGAACATGCACAATGTTCAATTAAGTGTATGCCTTAATGTCGACTGAAATAAACACTGTTATTATCAAAGGATTCACATCCAAATTTTACTTGCCATAGCAGACCTCATATATTATACACAAGTAGTAGGCAGTGGAGGTTTGCTGTACAGAGAAAGACCATGCATGGACTCTGGAGTCAGAAGCCTGGCTCCAAACACCCTGCTCAGTCATTCCTTGTTACTTTACCTGCATAAAGAGCATATTAATAACAACCATCATTATCTTGTGGGCTTCTTAGGATTTGCTACATTTCAAGCATTTAACTCAGGGCCCAACAGTAAGTGTGTAGTAAATGGTATTTTAATATTCTGATATTAAATTATGGAGAGATAATATACTTAAAATAATATTCACCTAAGGTTATGTGTCCTAGAATTTTAAAAAATAATTATTTTGCATAAATTCTGTCCTGAGTTTTATAAAGTCCTGTTTGAAAAATATGTTTAACATTTTAAGAGTGGCCTTTGTTATTAAAATTTTTGTCAACTTATAGAGTTTAGCCTATTTTCTAGCTTGGGTACAGAATTTCACATTAACATATCATACTATAAGACTTTTGGCCAAAAAATAGTTTATTACATCCAGCACTCCTGAGGATTTTGGGGGTGGAGAATTATAAATTATTTTATATCAGGAATCTATTCCTACATATTTTAAATTATGTTTTTCTTTGAAATAGATTTTTCTTATAAAAGAAATATTTGGGCAGTAGAAAAGTATAAAGATGATAACAAAGGTCACCAATAACACATAAAAAATATGCCCCCTGTTAAACATTCTGATATATGTGCATATTTACATAGATATTTAGTTAAAATTGAACTAACTATGTTATATACTTGCTTCACCTGTCAGTGGGCAATTTATTTTAATAAGTATGGAGCTAAATAACCTTTAATGATGGAATATTCCATTGTATTGTTATACCAGAATTTAATGAGTACTCTACTGATGAACATTCAGGTTGTTCTCATTCGTTCACTTACTTTGTTACTATAAAAATAACGATGAAGAACCTAGTGCATACATCATTATAATTTTGTTTACTTACACCCTTGGGATAACTTCCTATAAATGAAATGCTAGGTCAAAAGACATACCTATTCAAAATTGCTATACAGGGTGAGGCAAAAGTAGGTTTATAATTGTGATTATATGAAGCACAGTTTATTCTTGTATTTTTATTTATTACTGTATTATTTTCCGTATAAACAACTATAATCCTACTTTTGCCCCACCCTGTGTATTATCATACACTTGTCCTGAATGTATCAAATTTGGACTCCCATCAATAGTATATGGAAATGCTCACATTCTCACATACTCATACTGGGTATTAAAAATATTTTAATTTTTGTCATCTCTCATTCTAAACATTAAATTTTATATAACACGACACTAAGACAAAAATACCTTGGTCATCATGTTCTCCTCTCCATATAGCACTTCCATTTGGAAATTTCGGTAAGTGTTATCTATATGGTTGATTTTATTTACTGCTGAGGTGATTCCTGGATTTTTGTCAATCATAACTTGGCCTAAAAGAAAAGATTAAAATTCATATGAAATGTTGCCTATTGAATTAAAAAAAGAAAAACTAAAACTGCATGAAATGGAAATGAAATGTATTTTCTTTGGTTTTATAGATAAAAACTGCATCTAATGTGTGTGAAGTGACATGCAATTCTAAAAATTCAACAGATTACTAAAAATTAGCACCCAGCAGCCTCCAATATAAACACACAATAACTGTATGGGTACATTTTTAAGGAAACAGTTTTGAAGAGTTTGGGTCTACCTACTATTTTTCTATGTTTTTTGCTAAATCTCAAATGTACCAATACTGCAATAACTAAAAAGGTAGATCATAGGGAATTTGTAAAGTATAGAAAAAAGAGATGTAAGGCCCGAGGCAACATCTCAGAAAACACAAGCCCTGTATCCACTGGCCTCAAATCAAATGTTTGTTTTACTGTATATTTGAAATACATGCCTCCACTTTGGAAATATAGACCAGCAAAATAATGTTTTCAAATAAAGGAAACAGATTCTTCAGACTTGGCTAAATAAAATTTTCATTTAAATTGTTCCTTTTGTCAAATATTTGCTACAGCAGAAAAAGCTACCAAAATAATACATAAAATTCACCAGAAATGGTATATTGATACCCTTTAATCAAAGCCTACTTTTTTTGGTCAGCAGTTAAGAAATTTATAAGAATCTGCATTCTATCTCATTGCATAAGGAAAAATAATTTGATTTTAAGTTAGTTAAAAGTACTCAATAATACAAATATGCTGAAATACAACCAGAATTTGTCCAGTTTCTCTCTGATAACTAGATACCTGATTTTGAATATGATAATATCAATAAATTCTAGTCAATCATTGTTCTTATCCTGTTCTGCTTCAGGTATCAGAACTCAATCATAGGAAAGCCTGGACTTGACATTTGCACCCAGTCATAATTATAAGGGTCTACTGAAGTATTTATTATGCTATAATTATGCATTATCAGCCCTTTTCATCAGTAAAACAAAGGAAGTGCATAACAGCATATTTCTCAAATCCTACCCATACAAAATCCAAGCGCTATATTTTAAAGATGAAAATAATTCCCAGAAGTTCTGACTATTATTCTACATTAAAATAATCTGGAGAATGCATGGGCATCAAATACTCATATAATGACAAGTGCAATTTTGATTAGTTTTTTTTACTTTCTTTTATGCCAAAGAAAGTAACATACACAAGCTATATATATATATATATATATATTTTTTTTTTTTTTTTTTTTTGAGGAGGAGGGGGAGGAGGAGGGGATGGGAGGCAGCTAGGGAAGGAAGGGGAGGGAGGAGGCAGAGGGCCGGTGCTTCACGTGAAGCCAGTGGGCATGGGAGCGCGAGTGGCCCAAATGTGCAAATGTGCACCGCTGGCCAGCCCCCCCTCCCAGTTCCCCGCTTCTCCCCCCCCTTTCCCCCCCCTTCCTGGCTCCCCTCCTGGCCCCCCATCTCCAGCCTCTCGCCCACAAGCATCATTTCTAAAAGACTAGGAGCACTAAAAACCAAAGTATGGTGCTGACATACAGAAGAGGCTCAGTTAGTTGAATCCATGAAAGTATGAGTAAATAGTGTTTTGCAATTGTGACTATAAAAATACTCAATTTCATGAAACCTAGCATTCAACACATTCCCAAGGCCTACTAAAGCCTGTGTACCAAAGTGATGAGTTGCCAAAGAATTCTGCCAAAGCAAGTCATTTAAGTGTTATCTAAGCTTATGTACTGTGTACACAAAAGCTTGAACTGATATTTAAAGCTTGCTATGACTCTGGAATGGGGATTCCAAAATGGCCCTCAAAAGAGAATGTAGCTTAAGATCCAGATGAAAATTAAAAAGATAAAATGGTTTGCTTCTGCAATTTGGCATTTAAAAAAAATTTATAAAATTAGAACTTTGTAATTGCTTTCTAGCACAGGAATATTCTTAAGACATACCTACCAATTAAATGCTTGAAAGGTAGTTGATGATCTCGAAGGTTCAGGTGCGCAATATGTCCAACTCTGCTAAACCCTGAAGTCACATCTTGACCTTCAGGAAGCACAGCTCTCAAGATTTCTTCTGACTTAAAGTTTTCATAAGTTAGTTCCAAATTATATTTAGATATCTGTGGACTGACATTAAGCTGCTTTAAAATACTGAGTTCTGCTTCCTCAAAGGAATCATTAGTCAATATTTTATAGGGATCCAACATAATTAGTCTACTTTCTTCATCTTCTGGATCTTCAATCACACGTTTTATGCCCGGTCGCTGCAGTGCTGCCCTTTTAAGGGATCGCATCAATTTATTGACAATTTCTTTCCTCACTTTAAGCACTGGGATAGTGACTACCTTGTTAAAAGCTGTTCTATCAAGTGTTGTCATTCCTCGAACATCAGAGGGTGGTGAAAACAATTCTGAGTCACTTTGACTTGTTTCTATTTCAGGCATGGTTGAGAATCTTTTTCTTTGATCCAGCAAGAAAATACCAGGTGCTTTGCTAAGTTTCTGTATCAGTGATGTCCAAGCTAATGGGATCAATGATTCTGATTCAGTTATTCTACAGCTTTCCACTTTGAGAAGTCTTCTTAAGAATCCAAATGGCCTCCAGAAGATCCTAAAAAAGTATTCATTTAAAAATCATAAAGCTACAAGCCAACTTACATGTGCACAATAGGTTTTCAGAATGAAAACCTAAATTCTGTTTTACATAACCTGCTAAATGCTATTAATTAAAGCTTTTAGTGGTGTGTGAGTATACGTACCATCTTTTCCAGGGCAGAATGACTTTTGTTAGTGGTAAATAACAAATTTGCACCTTCACCCCACCTGCTGCCAGGATGAGGGCTTAGTGATCTATCTACCTCCTATACTTAATGAACCTCTCCACCCACAGTTTGCTACAGAATACATTTAAGACTGAGATTTGAATTAAGGAATCATCTCTAAATGAAATGGTCATTATATTCATGGCTTTACCAATAGCAATATTTCCTAGGATATTATTGTGGTTGCTTATTGTGTCAGATGCTAAGCTAAATGCTTTACACACATCCAACTTGGGAGGCTTGTGGTATCGCATCTTCATTTTTTAAAAAGTACATTTTATTGATTTTTTACAGAGAGGAAGGGAGAGGGATAGAGAGAGACATCGATCAGCTGCCTCCTGCACACCTCCTACTGGGGATGTGCCCGCAACCAAGGTACATGCCTTTGACCAGACTGGAACCTGGGACCCTTTAGTCCGCAGGCCAACGCTCTATCCACCGAGCCAAACTGGTTAGGGCGCGCATTTTCATTTTATAAATGAGTAAACTAAAGCTCATAAGTAGGTTAATTCACTCAGTTTCCTTGTCGGTAAATGGATGAGCAAGGATTAAAACCCAGGTCTGAGTTTAGTGCCTGTGTTATTAATATACTGCAATGTTACCTTTGATGCTTTATTGCCCCAAGCCCTGCCTATAACGAGGTTTTGGTATTTTGAGGACAGGGTTCTTTACTGAGTGTTATATACACATGCCATTAAGAGTATCGGTTACTGTCCTGCATGGAGTGGCTCAGTGGTTGAATGCTGACCAATGAGTCAGGAGGTCACACAGCTGATTCCCGGTCAGGGCACACCAGGGCTGGATCCCCAGTGTGGGGCATGCCTGAGGCAGCTGATCAATGATTCTCTCTCATCATTGATGTTTCTCTTTCTCCCTCTCCTCTCTGAAATCATATATATATGATTTCATATATATATATATATTTTCCACTTTGCCTTCTTGAATACTAAAGAAGTAATTGTAAGAGGAACGGGTCCTGCCCCAACCCTGTAAAACAAATGTCAGACTTCACAGCCAGGGTTCAAATTGGGTTGGTCCACCAGTTAACCAGCTGTGTGGTCCTGCGTCAATTACTTAATAAGTCTGGCTTCCCCTATATAAAATGTGGCTACAGGGCCTATCAGAAAGCTTTTGAAAAGAATAAACCGTTCCTCACTACCCGGCACTCGAACCTGGGCTCAGCACTAGGGCTGAAAATGGGTGACCTCGCGACGTTTAGGCGCCGGGTCAGTCAGGTACCACAGGCGGACCCTCAGCCCCTACGAACTAAAAAAGGCCCCGCGGCGGCCACCTCCCCAAGGTCACCACCTAATTCGTGGTGTCGCTCCGCATCTGGCTCCGCGACTCAGGTCCCTCACCTCATGCTCTGGTGCAGCTCGGAAATGGGTCGCCGGTGCGTGGGTTGGCTCTGGATGACATCATCACTGCTCGCCGCGAGGAGAAACGTCATCATATCGCGCCGATTCCCTCCTTTCTCCCGGGCCTTGTGGAGGACCGGGAACCCGGAAGGGCCGGGCCTAAAGCTCCGCCTCTGGCGCGACTGACGACGGGAGGGCAGGGGTAGTAGCTCCCAGATGGACCTGGTCGTTGGCCAGCGAGCATCATGGAGGCACCCTGGGGAGTCATCAACGTCCAGCCGGGCTGCTACGTCTCTTCCCAGCAGCCCGAGGAGGCGGAGGCGCAGGCAGAAGAGTTGAGCCCGTTGCTAAGCAACGTAAGTTGGCTCCGCTACCCTCTTGGCGCTGCCTGCCACCCGGCTCCCCTGAAGTGCCTGCCAAATAAGACCGGGAAACGAAGGGGGATGGCACGGGAGAGGGGCGTGGGCCGTGGGGCCAGAGGCAGCAGTAGAGATTCAGATTCGGCGGGGTGCATCCATGTGAGAGCACCCTAAGTGCCCTAGGAAGAGAAGCTGACTCCGGGCGCAGGTGGGACACGTACCGCGGGATACGCGGCCGCAGGAGCAGCCCTTGGGTTAGGTAGCTCAGTGCTGTTCCTAGTTGTCTTTGTCAGCTTCCCGTTTCCCCCACCAGTCTTGTGAGATTTTTGCAAGAGTCACAAGATTTTTCTGTTCTTGACTTAGTCATCTTAATACAGAGATCCTTAACTGTAAAGAGTGGAGGTGGTCCGGTAGTAAGTACATAACACTTTCCTGACCCTGAGGCCTGTGCCATGGGTACTCGGCATTTTAACTCAAGTCCCTGAATTAACAGATTCTAGGACCTTGTTCCCAAAGGCTATTTTGGGGGTGGGTGTTTTCAGAAATATCCTCAAGAGCAAAATGAATTGCTGATTCTACTGTCATTGCAAGGTATTCTTGACCATACTTCCAGTTGGGTGGACTTAATTCATTAAGTAATACAAATAAAAATTAGCCCTAGCCGGTTTGGCTCACTGAGTAGAACGTCAGCCTGCGGACTGAAGGAAGGGTCGCAGGTTAGATTAGGGCTCCTACCTTCGTTGGAGGCTCTATTATCCCCAACTCTGTTCAGGGCGCATGCGGGAGGCAACCAATCGATGTGTCTCTGGTGTTTCTTTTTCTCTCTTTCTTCTCTCTTCCACTCTCTCTAAAAAAAAATCAATGAAAAATATCCTCGTGTGAGGATTAACAAAACAAAACAAAACTTAGTGTTGCCCTACTAGTAATTGGGGAACAACAGTTGTGTACAGCAGCCTCAAGCTGACTCAGGAAGTCTTCAGGAATCACGAGCTGAGGCCATCAGCCTGCTCTCCCTCCCCGCTCCATTCCAATCCTGCCGTAATCTTTTGCCATCAGATTAATCACGCTCTTCCTGAAGCCTACCTGGCTTCTGTAGCGGTGGAGATGATTCTCCCAGGAAACTAGATTCCTGGAGCTGCCGGTGGGAGGTGAGAAGGGAAGGAAAGGAAAGCAACTAGTCCTGACCGGGCAGCTAGTGTGTCACACAATGCTTGTGGTCCTGCAGATAACCTGTCAGTCATTTCTCGATGAAACTTGAATTCACCATGCAAACATTTAACACTATTAAATTTGGGTGCTTACAGGAACTTCACAGACAAGGATCCCCAGGTGTTTCATATGGTTTCTCAGTGTTTAATTTGATGAATGCCATCATGGGAAGTGGCATCCTTGGCTTAGCTTTTGTTATGGCTCATACTGGTATCCTTGGATTTAGGTGAGTTTTTTTTCTTATTTTACCATTACTTTCCCCACCCTCCCCCCTCCATTTGGATAGTACTGTAAGACAAATGAGATAGACTCCAGAAGCTGGTGTTATCTAATTTCTAATTAAGTTATTTCTGGGATTTTAGCATTTGTTGTTGTTGCTAGTCTGTAGCTTGGAGGAATGCTATATAATTTGCATTTTTTAAATCCAAAAGTGTGGCTAATTTAAAAAAATGGGAGACTTGATCTACACTAGTTTATGACGTTAAGACATGACTTATTTGTTGTGTCATGTTGGCCAAAGTGAATCAAGACTTATCAGCCATGCAGATTACTTATAAATAGCAATTTTGTGAGTGTAAGTAAAGCACATATTCTTTTCATTGCTGTCTAACTCCTCCTGTCCTCCCACTGTTAAGTAGCCTTTTTCCTTTCCGAGGCCAGATGTGGTCTGTGCCTATTTCTTTTCATCTTTCAAGACTGCTCATACGCCAGTTTGCCCAAAATAAAAGACATTCCTAGCTTTTCTGTGCTCCCATAGTACTCTGTATATTCATTTTGTTATCATTTGATATAATGATTTGTTTGCAAATTAGTTTCACCACTAAACTCTTAAATCCTATAGAACTGAACCTTATCTTTAGCATCTAGCACAGCCGTGGGCAAACTACGGCCCTTGGGCCGATCCGGCCAGTTTGAAATGAATAAAACTAAAAAAAAAAAAAAGACTGTACCCTTTTATGTAATGATGTTTACTTTGAATTTATATTAGTTCACACAAACACTTCATCCATGCTTTTGTTCCGGCCCTCCGGTCCAGTTTAAGAACCCATTGTGGCCCTCGAGTCAAAAAGTTTGCCCACCCCTGATCTAGCACCAGGGTTGGTAGAATGAACATACTTGTTTTGTCAGTAGAAGATCTATTTTACTAGTAAATTTAAAATATTCAGTGTCATTTAGGTGTTTTAAATTATTTTTTATTTCATTTTTTATTTTTTCAAATAAAAAAAGGAAGTTTATTTAGCCCAGCCAGTGTAGCTCAGTGTTTGAACGTTGACCTATGCACCAGGAGGTCATAGTTTGATTCCTGGTTGGGCACGTGCCCAGTGTGGGCGTGCAGGAGACAGCTGATCAATGATTCTCTCTCATCATTAATGTTTCTATCTCTCTCTCTCTCTCCCTTCCTCTCTGAGATCAATTAGCACTTGGAGTGCGGGTGAATTTCCCGCCAAAATATAAGATGGCTCTGTCTTTTGGTTTTGTTCCATCCACCAAAAGGGTGGATTACAAACAAATATTTGGTAATACGCAGTTACAATCGGCCCGAGTTTACACGTTTCCCGCACTCCACCGCAAATCTATATGAACCGAGTTAAAGACGGCTCCCGCGGAGTACGCGCAATTCACGCGAGCCGACTTAACTCGTTTCCCGCACTCCAAGTGTTAGAATATATATATATATTTTAAAAGAAAGTTACAGAGGAAGAAGTAGTGAGCCAGATGGGCTGTGTAGGCTCAGGAAACAAGTTACAGAGACAAAAGAGGGCCCCTTGGAGCTTAGGAGAGAGAAAGGCAAAGGTAAGGCACCCGGGGAAAGAAGAGGGGAAGAAAACCCCTCCTCCCCGCAGTGTTCCCTAGGTTATTTTTATTTTGAATTTCTTGATAAGCAAACCAACTTTTAAGTAACTCAACTTGTTTTTATTATGGGAGGTATTCATCGCAAACTTTATAACTTTAAAACTTCAAAATAGGAAAAATAGTCATAAAAGGGAAATATTAAAAGATTATTGAGTGGCTGAACCATCAGTCAGTAAACAAGAATGCTAAAATAGGAAATTCGTTTTTACTTTAAATAAAGCTTGTTTCTTTCTGATTTTTTTCCTAGTTTTAAAGCAGTATATTTTCACTTAAATAAAATTTGGTAAATACAGAAAAGTATCTTCTTACTTTCTTCAGTGACCATAACCCAACTACTCAAAGATAGTCTCTATGAGACTTTAAAAAAAATTATTGTTGTAAGAGATACGGTAAAAAACCTTTTTTTGTACCCTTTTGTATTTTAGTTTTTTGCTGCTGATAGTTGCTCTTCTGGCTTCTTTCTCAGTTCATCTCCTGCTTAGTATGTGTATTCAGACAGGTGAGTAAAAACATTATGCTGATCCATTTGATGAAGCAGCCCCTTGAGATTGTATTCACGTATAAGATTGGATGTCTCACATCTGATTTCCACTGGGGATACATTATTACCAGGCAGTGTGGTTGAAATGGAGAATTTCAAAGGCCAGGATATATAGAGACAGTTCTGTTGGGCAATATCTAAGGACAGGATGGGAGGAGGAAACTAGCATTCTTACCTGCCTTTCACCACAACACAACATAGTTTTCTGGGTTAGAGGACATTGTGGGAAGGACCACAAATGAGTTCAAAGGATCCAAACCTCATGCTAATGGGGAAGCAATAGACAAGGGTTCATTCTGATCACATTTCTAGGGTGATCATTTCCTCAAGGAGCGCACCTTTCAGATCTACTACTGCCTTCCCTGCCTCCTCTCTGTCTGCCGGAATTAAGACTGTAGGAGAAAAGGTCACTAAGCTTTGGATTTATTGAAATGGTTTGTATTTTTACTTGCAGTCTAGAGTAAGGTAGTTTTTATAAGTGACAGCTGCAT